CTGCCACACTCTCACCTTTCCCATAAAAGGTCAATTGTTTCTGGAAGGAAAGAAGCAAGCCTGAAGCTACACATTTAGCAGGACCACAGGGTCAAACAACAGCTGTGTGGACCTGGGGCTGGCCGCCACACAGCAGGTCAGTGAGCAGGCGTAAGAGGAGATGGTGACCGCCAAAGGAACCTGGTTTCTCTTCCACAATCCACTTCTTAATGACAACAAATCTAATTAACACTGCAAGCCAAAAAGAAGTGTAAGTGACCTCTGAAAATGTGATTAACTCTCACTTAACATTCTACTAAAGGAACTGGACCAGCTGAAACCATTTCGGCTGCTCTAGTCTGACTCACAAGTCATTCTTGGGCATCACTGAAACAAGCATGCTGGGAGTTGGAGAGACAGTTCAGTAGTTAAGAGCACATGGCAACACACATGTGTTTGCAACTCCAGTCCCGAGGGATCTGTTGTCCTCTTTTAGATTCCTTGGGCACCAAGTATGCATGAACATGGTGCAGAGACGTATGCGCAGACACACAAATATAAGTAAAATAAAAACCAATACCACAATATGACCAAGACACATTATTTATGTGTATGATATTGTCAAAGAATAAATAAAATTAGTTTTAAAAAAGTTAGCCGAGTCTTCATGTTGCAGGCACTCTGCTGTACCAATAAAGTTTACCTGGAATCAGAGGGCATAGCTAGCTGCTAGCTGACCAAGTCAACTTTAGCGGACTTGTGCACACTGCACATTTCATGCTGTGTTAACGCAGATATGTAAGTTACCTTTAAAAGTTTGTATGTTCTCAGAATAAAAGGACTGGGCACGAATAAAGACAAAACAAGTAGCCCAAGTGATCTAGCCTCTTAGATCGGTTGCAGTATCCTCAAAAATCTACATCAAGAACAACTTCCAAGTCGCTAGCTGAGATGGTCCGGCCTCACAGACTACTCTAGCCAGGACTTCAGATAAGCTCTATACTTTCCCATCACATTGGGATTGGACAACAGATGATACAGCCAGCTCTCCCAGGACTTGTCATTATCCCTATTTTCTCAGGGTACCCTAGAGATGTCATTGCCCCCAGACAAAAGGAAGCAGTCTAGAGAACATAATGCCCACATTCCCAAGAGATACGGTTGTTAGTTTTTGGTCATTCAGTGAGTTATGAATGTTTTGTCATCATTTAGGGGGGTTGGTTGCAAATTGTTACTGGTCATGGTAAGGGAGGAAGCTAAGCAAAAGAGGTGGGATTCAAGAATTTCTTTCTGAAAAGAAAAAAGGGGGGTATGGAAAGTATAGGATAAAAGGGTAATTACTGAATCTACTTTAAACTAAAAAGCAACTATTAATCTCAAATACTTTACACTGGTATGGATTTTTGTATACTGATACAAATTTAAGGTTATTTTTGTTAGAACACTATGTTTCTACTCTTGTTTAAGACATTTTTGTTCATTGATACAAATTTAAGGTTATTTTTGTCATACTGTATATATGTTTTTACTCTTGTTTAAGGTATTATACCTATATAGTTCATTTAAAAATGTAATGTATAATTAAGAAATACAGGTTAGTAGTTAGTCATGTGTAATAATCAAACTTGTAGTCAAGTTAGGTATATTTTCAAGGTTAAAGAGATATATTTTAGATAGATAGATCAATGGTCTTCAAACACTCTGAGACCTACAGAATACAGCAATTAGATGCTTTAGTAACCTAAGGCTTTTCATGACAGTGAGACACTTCTGCTCCTGACAGCACCAATTTACTTCTAAAAAGGATGGGCACCAAAGAAACTCCATATGGAGTTTGCTTTTATTATGGCAAAGTTAGCCACTGGGCAAGAAACTGCCCTTGCCTCGACTGCTAACAGTATGCTGTCCAAATTGGACAAGCAAGACACAAAAGAAGGTGATTGCCAAACTTTGCCAAGACAAAGTAGGATGGTCCTTCAAAATTCCTGCTTCACAGAAAAGTCTGTCAGATATTCTAGGCCTGCAGGCCAAAGATGGATGCCCCAATGTTGCAGAGAAACCTTCGGTGACTGTCTAGATAGCCAGCTGACTCTATTGTTTCTATAGTTTTGGAAGTTGTTTACTCAGGTAATGTATCCTCTGGTCTTTGATGGGGTTGAAGACTAGATAGTTACAATTGCAGTTTTTCTTGTTACCATTTTCAAAAGAGAAACTTACATAAGAGATGTAAAGTTTATAAGGCTGAGAAACATAAAAGCTTAAGCTGTTTATCTAAAAAGATGTTTTAGGGTCTAAAAAAATATTTTTAGGATGGCAATACAAGTTATAATAAAAAGTGGTTTAGGTATTAAAACTTTGGCCTCACTAAGATAGGATATATAATATAGAGTACTTTTTCCAAAGTTGACAGATACAAATGAACTGAAAATTGTAAATGTAATTCTTACCTGATAATTGTTCTTATTGTATATAGTTTTACTTTGTTAGAGTTAAACCCTTTCCTTTTTATTTAGACAAAAAGGGAGAAATGTTGTAGATTATTTGTTTACACACACTGTGTGAAGATGTATCATTGTGATTGGTTAAATAATGAGCTGAATAGCCAATAGCTAGGCAGGAGAGAAAGGTGGGATTTCTGGGGAGAGAGAGGAAGAGGAGGAATCTAGGCACGTGGATTACGCTAGGGATGCCAAGAGACTGAAGAAGTCAGATATACAGTATAGAGCAAAGGTAATTAAGCCAGGTGGCAGAACATAGATTAATAGAAACAAGTTAATTTGAGTCATAAGAGCTAGTTGAGGACAAGCCTAAGCTAAAGGCCAAACTTTCATAATTAATAATAAGTCTCCTTGTTGCTATTTGGGGGCTGGCGATTCAAAGATAGTCCAACAAGAAAGCTTGCTACATCTTCAGATACCTGGCTTTTTTTTGTTGTTTGTTTTTTAATAGGGAATGTCTCTGTCCCTCTGTGCTTACTGAAATGCATAGTAAGGCTGTAGAGATGATACAGGGCAGTAGACAGTGACACAGGAGAAAAGTTACAATGACATCTTGGGAGGCTATGAAAGTTTAGGTCTATTAACTATTTGCAAGGTGCTTTTGATTTTGTAGAAACAAAACATGCAGTGTATACAAAAAGTCAAAAAGTTACAGTTAACCACTTCATAATAAAAAGTACTGCAGACATAAAATCAGCCTCCCCAGGAGAAGGCTGGGGAAAAAAATAGTAAAACATACAAGATAAATTTGTAAAAGTTTAAAAAGAAACCTCTGCAACAAAACTACTCTTGTGAACTCGGCACAAGATTAATTCTGTGAGGCTCTGCTGGCAATAGCTTGTAAGACTAGCATTTTTTCAGCCTTCATACCTTCTCTTTTTTTATTTTTTCAAGACAGGGTTTCCCTTGGCTGTACTGGAACTCACTTTGTAGACCAGGCTGGCCTTGAACTTAGAGAGATCCACCTGCCTCTGCCCCTGAAGTGCATGTGCTGCTATTATTTACCTCTTAAGAAGACACTAATTAGCATATTATTGTTTTTCTTTATACAATCAGGTTAAAAGTTTTGGGCTCTTTAAAACAGTATTTTTAGAATGTTTAAAAATTATTTTAGCAATTTAAAATATATAATGTTTAAAATATCAGTAGCCTTGGAATGTCTTTAATGTAGTTAATTATACCATTCCTTACAAAATACCTTAAAATGAGAAAATAAAATGCATATTTCAGCAGTACTCTTAAAAGAAGAAAAGGTATCCCTATGGTTCTCCATGAGTTAAAGATAATTGGTTACTTCACAAAACCACAGAAATGATCTGTTACTAGATACAACAGCTTTTGTCCCATGATCATACTTATATATGTAAATATATATGTAATGTGAAATTCTCAATGCAAGTCCTAACCAAAAGGAAAAGAGGAATAGAAAAAAATTTGACAGTACTTTTTAAATATATATGTTTGTTTCTAAATAAAATACATAAAAGTTTACTCTGGAAAATAAGTCATAGCAATTATAACAAATCTCATTGTTTTGGTAGCTGTGTTTTATTAGCATGCTCATTAAATGTGTGTTCATTGTAGAAAAGACCTAAAGGCATGCTAACAGAATTACAGAGGAAATTTAAATCTTTCTTTTAGCAACTCTTTGAAGAACTTTTAACCATAAGATGTATATAAAGGAAATTTAGCCAGGCGGTGGTGGCGCACGCCTTTAATCCTAGCACTCGGGAGGCAGAGCCAGGCGGATGGATCTCTGAGAGTTCGAGGCCAGCCTGGGCTACCAAGTGAGTCCCATGAAAGGCGCAAAGCTACACAGAGAAACCCTGTCTCGAAAAACCAAAAAAAAAAAAAAAAAAAAAAAAAAAGAAATTTAGTAAAGGGTATTTACTATGCTTTACACAAGTATCAGTTTGATAACTGAGACAGGAGAGTTCCCTTCTCTCTCCTAATTATATGTTTGAAGATCTGGAACATGTCAGGTGCTCTACTGTAGATTCCCTGAATGAAAACACATAGAGTGCTATGTCAAAAGGTCCTTGGTCAGTAGTTTGTCTCCTAGGTGTTAGGTATGGCCATTCACACATACACGCCAAAAGGAATGGTCAGAAACATTCCATCTGCACTAAGACCAGTACTTACTCCATTAATCCAAACCACCTGTCTAAATACACTGGCAAGCTGAACTTCAGTGTTAAGGCTGAAATATCACCTCTCTAATTCTGATAAGTTGGAAAACTGTCTTTTCCATGATTAAAGGGGCAATATAAACACAGAACCTAATGCTGTTTTCTATGATTAGGTTTCAGTAGCTGAAGTCTCTGAACACTACAATTCTGCACATAGTTGTTATACTGTGGAGCCGGGGATGGACTCACATCTGCTTCTTGCTTATTTCATTAATGGTTCCCTCCCAGGTCCTTTCTCCACAGATAACCCAGGACCCATCTAAGGCTGCCTCCTGCATAGTGGGCCTGTTCTGGTTTGTCACTGCTCACACAATGCAAATCTCAGTGAACTCACATCTGTCACAGATCGACCCAATTCGTGGGCAATCTTTTCCCATCGACCTGGGGTCCCTCCTGGGAACTTAACCATACTTCTTGTCAGCTGGTTGAGGTCCTCTTCTGTCCATTCAGGTGCCTGTGAAACATTAAAGAAAAAATAATTGGAAATATGCTTACTAAAACATTAATAAGCTTGTGAAACAATTATTGGCAGAACCCTTTCTGCAATGACCAATAGTACTAAACATGTATTTAAACTTAGTCAAAGGCTGGGGCAGCATCTTTATAGGCAGAATGGAGTCCCAGCAGTCTTTGAAAGATTTTTGTATGCATATAAGAATAAGGAAGTACTGCAAAATGCAAAACCATGTTTTTGAAGATACTTAGAAAAAGAGACCAATTTTACATTAAAATAAAAAACCATTATAAAAGTCTATAAAAAACTCTCACTACAAAATGTAGTACTGCTCACATAACTCACATAACATGGCTAGCAAAGTTTTGAAGTAAAAAACACTATAAAAGAAAACAAAATGGTTCTTAGACATAGACATGAAAATCTGAATAGATAAAGCACTGATTGAGAATCAGAACTGTGCAAGGCTACATTTCTTGCCCATTCTATGTAATAATAACAACATTCAATTTAGAAATTTATCAAATACTAGCATTCTGTACAACATGAGAACAAGTAAGATTAGACAGAAACTCTAACATCAAGATGTGAACCTTCCAGTCCATGCAAAGCTTTTAGTAGTTGAAATAGTGAAAACACCTTAAAGATTACAAAACTGTGAAAAATTCTAGCAGAAACATATTCCTGAATTTCATTACTAGTGACTACCAATGGTCAAAACCTAAAACCAAGTAAAGAAACATAAATCACTGTTGAATAAGAAAAACCTATAATATGACAGCTATATTCTAGCATAAGCTATCTATCACCCGTCAGAGGCAGCAGTCACTCTGGCACTAAACAATGAGAGAGGAAGGAAGCCCACCTCATTTCCCTTTAATTAAAAAGAAATGGTGGGGGGAGGTAGTGGGAGAAAAATCTTAGAAACAAATACCTTTTCTAATCACCATTTCCGATAATGAACAGGCATACATCAGGCAGTTTGCATTACAGAACCATCAGCACAGAACAACAGTTAGAGGTGAGTGACCCCAGGGACTATCTCCAGAGCTCCAGCAAAGCCTCTCCCTGACACTAATCCTCCCTGTCATTCTCCCACTGTGCTCCAACCACACTGACATTGGCCTGCCTCCCTGCAAGCCTAACAGGGCCCTTCCTGACTTTTTACTGTCTCCCCCAATCAATGGTTCAAGCATGCTCTTTTCACCATGTCCAAATGGCAGCTTCACTCATAATCAAAGTGCACTGGCCCTGTTAAAGGGCTCTCCGAAAGGCTTTCCTATTTGCATTCATTTGCAAAGCAAACTACTTTTATTCACTTTGTTCTGCTATCAAGAATGTTCCCTGAAGCAGATAAATTGGCATAAATACAACCTGCCACTTAAGAGTCAGTAAATAATAGCCAATAGTAGGGAGGATTTTATCAATCACTCTATTTTGTATCCACTAAGGGCTGAAAGCCTCGAACATATTCATCAGTACAACCCCTACAATACATGCATAAACTCACTTAGATAAAAAGGTAGTCTACACTGGATCTGGCTAGAATTTCTCTGATATTTAATGAAGATCAGAAATTTAATTCTCTGGATCACTTAAGCTAAAAATTACACAGCGGGTCTTTCCTTCTTTTCCTTTCTTTTTGCCTTATTGAAGGAAAAATGAGTTATTTAGATATCATTTAGAGGAGCAAATTAGATTTTCAAAGAAAATACTATCCTGATTATTAAAACCCAAAGCTCTTGTAAGTATACAGATATGCAGAGAAGCTTAAGCTTGAGGAGAATATAAGCTGGAAGTGCAAAATCAAGTCATGAAGAACATTAAGATCCTCACTGAAACAGGACCAAAATCATACTAGGGCAGTGTGCTTCAGAGCATAGCAAGTCACCTGATATCTACATCAGCTTTAACAGAAATCTGTGCAAAACTGCTATTTTTAATGGATTGGTTTTCCAAAACCTACATATATCAACAGTCAACATTAAAAAACCAATCAGATTTTAATTTAATTTCTTGCTAGTAAGTCTAACAACATGGCGCCACTGTTTTCCTGGGAGGGCAACATTTCATTTAAATTAAATACCTGTATTGAAAATCTGAAGAAAAAAAAAATCACTGACTGTCTCAGCAAACTTCCTTTTAGTTTTAGTTATTTCATGGCCATGATTTGTACTATTATCGTTAAAAGATGGGTAATAATAAGAACCTGTGGGCTGAAATCTGAGTGTGGCCTTTGAGCTACTCATTATTCTCTCTCCTACAGCGGCAAGGCCCTTTGGTGAATGTGTAATTCCTCAGCAATAGTTAGTAGTGTCTTTAGAAGGAACAGAGCCCACTGTGATCAGCTACTCGAGCAGCCATGAGGGTGGCCGTGGTGTGAATGTATTCTCCCTGTTCTAATATAGAGCCAACTGTAGCTGTGAAAGTCAAATGAATGCATAAGCATACTGCTTTGCACTTAAAACCATGTGTGTCCAATATTACTGAAACACTGGGCCAAAAACTCATCGCTACAGTAAAGTAATGGAAGACACCACATGGTGTGGGGACAGCTGTTGTGACTACACAAGCATTCCAATTTTGCATCAGAAAAGCCCCACTCTGGGAATAAATCTCCATACTGAATACAAAATAAAAAGTAAGTTTTCAAATTATTCAATATTTTACGTAATGACCCCCAAATATATATACATAAGAATGAATAGGGAAATTTAAATTGTATTATCAAAATAATACTCCTTTGGGATGGATTTTTGCCATAAACCCTGCTATGTTCAAAGACTTAGTGCCTCTGAAAATCTTTAATATTCCTGGGTTACAGGGCTTGGAGGTAGCAAGGGAAAGCTTGTTATTTTATAGAACCTACATGCAGTTTCCCCTTCAAGTTTTAGACCATAAAACATGAAATATAAAGTATTATGCAATTTATATGACTGAAAAATTATGGCTACATTTAAAGAAAAATACATATTACTTATTGTATTCTCATATTTTAATAGTAAAAGGTCCTTTTTATTTAATAGATAGTTAAATTTTTGTATTGAAGCATTTTTAGTTGGTTTAGTTCAACTCAAAAGTCTTAGATATATTGTGGATAGTATTCCTCTAACTATATTTTGTACAGTTTTAGAATGCATTAAGTTTTCAGCTATATAATTTCTTTTCCAATTTTAAAGTGACTTTGACAAACTTCTGTGTAAATCAATGGTATGCGAAGAGCAACAAAATTAAACCAAACAATCTCAAATTACCTTTACTCTTAGGAAGATAAATTCTTGAGACCCTTCTTCCTGGCTTGTAGGTGGCCACCTCTCACCATCTACGAGGGCTCATACTAAAGCTGCTTACTGAGGAGCCTCTTGCAACCTCTGTTTCCACGAGTTGGACAAAGCAATACACCCACCACTAAAGACTGGACACAGAAGGGGACTCTACTCTTCTGTTGTTGCTTTTGGTGTTAAGCAAGTGCTCCAGAACTGAGATAAATCCATCAACAAGACTACATTTCTGCGTGGCTCTTGCCAAAAATGGACACAGTTCTCTTGTAATGAAGGAGACCTCTCTGCTGGGACATTTCCCCTGGTCACTCTGACAGATTCGATTTATTGTGGAGCTTTGATTTCCTCTTGGAGCTAGGATGGTGTCCTTTCACTGTGATTCTTTCTCAGGTGACTATTGCTGCCATTCCCATCAGGTCAACTAAGCTGGACCATACTACTGTAGATCTTGAAAGTAATCTTGTCATGTTTTTAGCCTTTCAGACAGTTTGCAGTCAGCCACCAGGATACCTTTCATTGCTAAAGCCACTGAACAACGGGCCAGGAGTCAAAAATATTGGATGCAGCCTTCATGGTCCCTGCTGTCTATAGATATCTGGGATTGCTCAACACTGGAAAGGCTTCCTCAAACATCAGCTCCAAAAGTTGACTCTAGGCAGTTGGATCTCTGAGTGTTCGAGGCCAACCTGGTCTACATAGTGAGTTCCAGGACAGCCAAAGTCATGTAATACCCAAAACAAATATCCCCCACAACAAACAGAAATTCTCCCTCTCTCAGTTTTTCCTCATCTTTACATTTTAGTTATGAAAAGCAACTGACCCCAGAAATAAACCTTTTCCTTTTAGTTACTTTCTAGATAATCAAGGGGTAGATGGTAACAGATATTTACTTAGAAAATTCAGGATTCATCCTTGATGGGGATGACCTCCGTCTTTTCCTGATGGCAACACATGCCAGTCTGGTTGGTATACCTTTTGGGTGAGAGCACAGCTAAGGGTATAAGAGAATCAATCTAGTCCTGGTTCAGCCACTTCAAATTTCTTGCAGGAGTCACAAAGTCCTAAATCATGGTCATATGGCTGAATATACTTCTTGCCAATACAGTTGTGAGTGGGGGTCTGAAATTTGTATAAAACATTCTAAGTGCCTGCGCTTACTTACTGGGACAAGGTCACCTGATATGGCCATGAGGAATGAAACCAGGCTAGTTGGACAGTTCACAAAACTTAAAGCTGTGGCAATTTTATTGAGAGCAATCAGACTTTTTATACCTTTATCAGCAACAGAATATAATGGCAATTTCCAGAATTAAGACAGTTGTAGTTGCCAGGATACAGTGAAGTTTGCAAGCTATACAGGGTGTACAAGATTAATGTCTAAGACCAATTGTCCTGTCAAGCTTCTCTGCTTCCTTAACTCCTAAGGGAATGAAAATACAGAGAAACACTAAGTGACCTGCATGCTTCGCTGCCTGAGGGAGTAGGCCAGTCTCTCAGGAACTAGAAGGTACAGTGCCCCAGGAACCATGGACTCTAACCTGAAAAACCAATGATGCATGTTTCTCAAGCCAGCTAGGCCAACTCCATGGTTCCCTACAAAGCATCTTATCTTGAAGAAAAAGAGGAGGCTAGGTACAAAGTCAGGGATGGTTGTAAGAAAATGTAACTTTACAGCTATGGGAATAAGAGACACGAATTTTGTGGTTATTAGAAAACAAC